CTGGCGCCCGGAGGAGTTCACTGAGGGCCATGGGGCTGGCCCAGTGTCCTCCAGCAGCTCGGGCAGCGCTGGAACCCAGGTGTCCTAGTTTTCCCCGGCCTGGAGGTTTCCCCTGAGCTGCCTGTGGTGATCTCACTCAGCCCCTCAACGTGGTATGTGGGATGAGAGAACATTCTAGAACCAGGAGCTGGCAGAGAGCAATAATAGTGACAGTGTGAGGAGTGGTGGCACGTGTGAGGCAACAGGCCCTATCGTGAACACGTTACGTGTATTGTCACCTCCCACGAGGTTGTAGTCAGGTGTCGACTGGGTGGCAGTCATGTGAAGGCTCACCTGGGCCGGACGCCCAAACAAGCTCACTCCCAGGACTGGTGGTTGGTGGTAATTGTCAGAGCTCAGCTGGGCTGTCCGTTGGAGTGTCCACACGTGGCCTCTCTGTGTGGCTTTGGCTTCTCACAGCATGACAGCTATGTTCTGAGAAGTAGCTTCCCACAGACAGGTGAAAGCTGCAAGACTCCTTATATCCTAGCCTTGGAAGTCCCAGAATATCATGTCCACTGCTTTTTATTGGCCAAGCAAATCACTAAGGCCATCCCAGGTATAAGTGGCAGAGAATTAGATCTCACCATAAGGAGCTTGCCACCACTCATCTGTCAGTTTGTTGTACTGTGGTGGCTTTTGTGTTCTGTGAAGTTGGAGGCTATGGCACTGGTGTTTCAAGTAACAGCAAGGTTACCTGTGGTAGACACTTTCCAGTGCAGCTTCCAGACTGACAGATTTAGAAGAAGGAAGGGGCCATCCGCTTCTCAAAGAACTGGCCAGTGAAAATCTTATGAATAGCAGTGAAACATGGTCTGATATATTCCTGGAAAACTTTATGAGTAATCCTGAAAGACTGTCCAGTGTAATGCTGGAAGATGATGAGCCCCTCAGGTCGGAAGGCACTCAAAATACCACTGGGGAAGAGCTGCCTCCTCAGAATACAGTTGACCTTAATGATGTGGATGGAGTAAAGCTTTCAGGACCTGTATTTGCTGATGTGGCATGACTCAAAATGGGAAGAAACAGCTGCAAATGTCCATTAATAATCAGAACAGGGAATGTACAAAGTATGAATCTAGGAAAATTGGAAGTTGTCAAGAATGAAATGGAATGTATAAAAATCGATATCCTAGGCATTCGTGAGCTGAAATGGACTGGTTTTAGCCATTTTGAATCAGACAACCATATGATCTACTATGCTGGGAATGACAAATTGAAGAGGAATAGCATGGCATTCATTGTCACAAAAAATGTTTCAAGAGCTATCCTGAAATACAGTGTTGTCAGTGATAGGATAATATTCATACTCCTACAAGGAAGACCACTTAATACAACTGTTATTCAAATTTATGCACTAAGCACCAAAGCCAAAGATGAGGAAATTGAAGATTTTTACCAAGTTCTGCAGTCTGAAATTGATGAAACATGCAATCAAGATGTGTTGATTATTATTGGTGATTGGAATGCAGAAGTTGGAAGTAAGGAAGAATCACCAGTAGTTGGAAAATATGGCCTTGGTGATAGAAATGATACTGGAGATCGCATGATAGAATTTTGCAAGACCAAGGATGTATTCATTGCAAATACCTTTTTTTAACAATGTAAACGGAGGCGATATACATGAACTTTTCCAGATGGAGTACACAGGAATCAAATTGACTACATCTCTGGAAAGAGGCAATGGAGAAGCTCAATATCTTTAGCCAAAACAAGGCCAGGAGCTGGCTGTGGAACAGACTATTGACTGCTCATTTACAAGTTCAAGTTGAAGCTGAAGACAATTAAAACAAGTCCATGAGAGCCAAAATAAGACCTTGATTATATCCCTCCTGAATTTAGCAACCATCTAAAGAATAGATTTGATGCATTGAATACCAGTGACTGAAAACCAGAGGAATTGTGGGATGACATCAAGAACATCATCCATGAAGAGAGCAAAAAGTGATTAAGAAGACAGGAAAGGAAGAAAAGACCAAAATGGATGTCAGAAGAGACTGTGAAACTTGCTCTTGATCAGAGAGTAGCTAAAGCAAATGGAAGAAATGACAAGATAAAAGAGTTGGACAGAAGATTTCAAAGAGCAGCTCTTTGATAAAGTCAGTTATTATAATGAAATGTGCAAAGACCTGGAGTTAGAAAACCAAAAGGGGAGAACATGGTCAGCATTTCTCAAGCTGAAAGAACTGAAAAGAAAATTCAAGCCTTGAGTTGCAATATTGAAACATTGAATGATGTAGGAGGCATCAAAGAAGATAGAAGAAATATGTAGAGTCACTGTACCAAAAAGAATTGGTCTATATTCGTGATCAAGAACTGATGACATTAAAGGAAGAAGTCAAAGGTGCACTGAAGGAATTGGCTAAAAACAAAGCTCCTGCAATTGAGGGAATACCTACCCGTTGAGTTGTTTCAACAAATGAATGCTGTGATCTTGGAGGCACTTACTTGTCTATGCCAAGAAATTTGCAAGACAGCTACCTGGCCAACTGACTGGAAGAGATCCATATTTGTACCCATTCCAAAGAAAGGAGATCCCACAGAATGTGGAAATTATGGAACAATGTCATTAATATCATACCTAAGTAAAGTTTTGCTGAAAATAATTAAAAAACGGTTGTAGTAGTATGTTGACAGGGAACTTGCAGAAATGCAAGCTGCATTCAGAAGAAGATGTGGAATGAGGGATATCATTGCTGGTGTCAGATGGATCTTGGCTGAATGCAAAGACTACCAGAAAGATGTGTGTGTTTTATTGACTATGCAAATGCATCAATTATGTGGATCATAACAAATTATGGATAACATTGAGAAGAATGGGAATTCTAGAACACTTAATTGTGCTCATGAGGAACCTGTACACAGATCAGTAGTTGTTTGAACAGAACAAGGGGATACTGCATGGTTTAAAATCAGGAAGGGAGTACGTTAGGGTTGTTTCCTTTCACCATGTTTACTCAATCTGTATACTGAACAAATAATCTGAGACACTGGACTATATGAAGAAGAACATGGCATCAAGATCAGAGGAAGAGTCATTAACAACCTGTGATATGCAAAAGACACAATCTTCCTTGCTGAAAGTGAAGATGACTTGAGGAACTTAACTGATGAAGATTAAAGACTACAGTCTGCAGTATGGATTACACCTCTTTTGTTTCTTTATATAGTAACAAAACTGAGAACTGGACCAAAAAGCAGCATTGTGATGAATAGAGAAAAGACTGAAATTATCAAAGATTTCATATTACTTGGTTCCACGATCAACACCAATGGAAGTAGCAGTCAAGAAACCAGATGATGTATTGCACTGGGCAGATCTGCAAAAGAGTTCTTTAAAGTGCTGAAGAGCAAAGATGTCTCTTTGAAGACTAAAGTACGCTTAACCCAAGCCATGGTATCTTCAGTCGCCTCATATGCATGT